TCGCTGGCCGTTTATAGGAAAAACCCGACGGCTACGATGGCAGGGGGCTGGCGCGTCGTTGGTTTTTTCCCCGATCTGGGTCGTCTGTTTCCATAGCGGTGACCGCTTCAGTCTCCTGCGAGGGCTGGCTGCCTGGCACCTTGATTGTGCAAGTTCTTCTGCGAGTAGATGCCACCCTTGATTCGATAACCACGTCCCTATCTCAATRGCCCGGGATTAATATCATGTCCGTGGAGACGTCGGTCGCTGTTGCCCTTCTTGGTAAGCTRAGATAGACCACTCGAAGACGATATTGATTTGGCCAAGTAGACCAAATTCTCAAGAGATGTTGTTATCCATAAGTTTCCTGGTGTTAAAGGCTGCCACTTTCAGCGTAGACTTGGCCTTGTTTAGCTGAAATCCGAGGTTGGCACTCCAATTACTAGCGTTGACCCAGCAGGGGTGGTTCCGAGTTGTCATAGGAGGAAGGTTCTAAAGACTTGAACTTTGAAGTAAAGGGCGTCCACCCGACTCGAGATGAACTGTCCGATGTGTGAGGCCAGGTTCTAGCAGGTCTGATCCATGTTTAAATTTAAGCTGATGTTGGAATGGGGTATCAAAGGCACGAGCACTGAGTGACTGTTGATCTGCTTTGACCTGAAGTTCCAATACAGACTGTCCTGATCTGGGCACGTTGTTTCAGTTGAACTGCTGTCCTGWAACTGATTGCCAAGTTGGTCTGATTGTGGCAGCTCAGCTCACGGAGCGTGGTAAGATGCGTCTGCGCGCAAGGTGTTTATCGTGGTTGACCGMTGGGCGTAGTTGACACACGTGATCGCCTTTGGTTGGTCGCTGGGTGTGGTTTACGCACGTAATCGCCCGAGGTTGGTCGATGGGTGTGGCTAGATGCGTACCTGTACACCATGGCTAAATGTTCTATGATAACAAGGCGCATATACTGTGACGTAAATCATGGTATCAAAAATGAATTCATGGCATAAAATATAATATAACGTAATCGTAATAATGACTTATTTGAAAAAGGTGGGAACGTGGCGTCATCTGGAGTAAATTGCGTATTATTAGTGTTATGATTATCTTGCTGACATGCCTGTCTATTTAGCCATGCAGCTGTACTCTAAGGCTAACGAGACTTGCTGTGACAGGAGCTACCGATCGCAACGTACGTCTATTTCAAGTGGCAGACCCAACTCGACTGTTTTCATAATATTCCTATAAATCTGATAAACTTTTTCTTCTCTCGACAAATCTATAATGATTGCTTATAATTTATACATCATATATTTGAAACTAGGAAGAGATGAGAAACACATTTATAAATAGAATACACTTTCAAGATTTTCAAGGAAGAAATTGGAGTGATCGATRCGTATCGATTTAATCTCATGTGTTCAAGAAGTTATACGCTCAATATACAAGGGATACGTACCGACCTGTATCGGGCTTAGACTTCGATACGAGTTGGTACGTARCTATTCTCAGTCGATATGTATGTATTGAAAATCTTGTTTATTTCAAACACATGCTATAGCTGATCGAACTATGACTGAAGTGTTAAACATGCTATCATGACAAAGGAAGACAACTTGAAAACAATTTAGAAATAATTTCATATTATTATCATTACTATTGTTATTGTACACAACTATGAATTTATTGAACTTTTTTTTTGAAACTTAGAAATGAAAAATCCAATCGAATCTTCTTCAGCATTTTCAGGACCAAAACGCCTTACAAGTGCACATAAATCTTCATTTAATCCTGCCTACAACAAAATATTTACAAATTAAGAAAGGGAAAATAAACAATGTCTTTATTTAATCTACTTGAGATGTAATTCCTGGACTGCCAATTTCAGAATTTATTGCAATTAGTTCCATCTGTGGGAACTTTTCAAGAACCCAAGCTATATTGTGTTCATTCTCTTCAAGCGTTATTGTACACGTACTGTAGACTAAAATACCACCAGGCTTAACAAGATTTACAGCCTTAATACATTAAAAATTGAAAAAATAAATTGAATAAATTCATATTTTAAATATAGTGATTAAGTTAACCAATTACATTTATTAATAATTTTCTTTGTAAGGCAGGAAAACGTTTTAATACATTTTTATCTACTTCAATATTAAGTAATGGCCGTTGTCCAAGATTACTGCAAGGTGCATCCAAAAGCACACGATCAAATGATTCACTTTTAAACGGTGGTTTATCATCACTGTTATTTATATTGTTCGTGTCTGCACAAATCAATGAATCAAAATGATGAATCTTCACATTTTGTATTCCAAAACTTTTGCATCGAAGTTCAACTTTGTTTAATTTAACTTTCGATTTATCTATTGCATCTATTGATCCCTAAAAAAGTAAAAAAAAAAATAATAAATATTTAATGTGTTACTGATAATGGCACAAGTTTTTTTCCAGTCTTTAATACTACTGAACTTTAAAAATTCAAAATGTTATGTCAAAAGACTGTCCATATCATCAACTCACTTTATTATTCATTAAAATTGCTATGTGTGTGGTCTTATTACCAGGTGCTGCACACATATCTAATACTTTAAGATTGTTTTCATTGACATCAAGTGCGTGTCCAGTTACAACAGAAGGCAAATTCTGTAACATTCCATATTCACTGGGCAATGTGAATGAAGGGATACCTGTAGTAGGGTCAGTCATTTCAACCGCAATACCTCTAAAATGTAAAATCAAGTATTTTATWAAATGCATAAAAAACACATTATCCATTTCATCATACTTAGGATTCATATCACCATTAAATAACTGTCGACGATTCATTTTAGCAATACCATTGCCAACAAACATTTTCAATGGGTTATCGTAATATTTTTGGTAGCCTCGTTTACACCCTTTAGCTAAGTCTGCATAAACTGATATGGATGAACCAATTTGTACTTCTAAGAAATGAAATATTAAGAAATGCATGTAATTAGTGTTATGGAAATAGTATCAATAATAATCAAAATTGTGTAATATAATTGTTTTTAAATTCTTCTTTGTACTTCAAGAGAGTATGAATAATTAATAGGTACACAATTACAGAATTGTGTTAACATATTGATATATGTTTATAGAGATAGATAGGATTGCATTACCTCTAAATGCCCATTATCAAAATTGTAATCAATTAATTATTTTTATTAATTAATAGTTTTATGCAATGCTATTYATAATAACATACAAATATTATGGTTTATTTTACCAGGTGCCATTGCCATAATTCCAGGTGCAAATATATGAGCGCCTCGTAATGCAGATTGCCCGGTAGCAATATCAACAATAACTTCTTCTTTTTTAGGACTCAAGTCTAATAATGACTTATCCATTGGCGAAATTACTATACAATCGCTCAAATTGTTATGTACTCTAACTGAATGATGGTTTTTTTCATTATTTTTAAGTCTTATCAGCTATAACAATATACAAAACAAATTTTTACCAAAAGAAACAACAAATTGTATAAACTATTTATTAATAATATTTAGTCACTAAATATTCATATTGCATAAATTATGTCTTATAAAAAATCAATAATACTTATAAGAAATCGATGTAATTTATTTTTATGTGAATTAAGAGAAGAAATGATTGGAATGAAATAAAAAAAAATACATTACATTTGAAATTTGTTCGTTTAAAGATGCCATAACTTCTAAAGGCGTGATCTTCAAGGTGTTGACTCGGAAATATGAATTTAAAGGTGCCGAAGTCAACCACTGTGACACTTCCTAAAAACAATTAGTGTTTCATTGAAATCATTTCCATATAATATTTAAATGTTCATATGAATGTTAATTATTTCATTTTTCATTTAAATGTCATACAATAAGTTAATTGGTCAATAAAAAACAAAGTTAGATCATCAAATATGATGGACAATAAATCTTAATTAATCTAAATTTGTATAATTTTATTTAACAGTATTTTAAATATTTTATGTCATTCAGTTAGCTTATTTATAATTTTTTCTGTTTTAAGGCTGTTTTTTTTTAGTATTATTATTATTTGAAACCAAAATATACAAAATAATGAATAAGGTATATTGCATATCAAAATTAATTTACTTTTCACCAATGCATCATTAAAACAAAACTAAAAACAAAATAATCATTATATTAAAATGCAAAATGTTTACCTACTTCCACAGAAAGGTTCCTAGTTTTGTAGATACTTTTTAATAGATTCAATAAATATTCATCCAAATTATGAGGACGAACAACTTGCACKGGTCTCATCATTTTCTTCGTATAAGTAGACACGTAAAACAATATTWTAGTATTATATATTTATGTTATAAGTGTGTAGAATGTAGAATAATATCCCTTGTTCAATGAATGTCACCATAAACATTGATACCTATATAGTTGTTTAAATAAATTTTAAGCTTAATGATAAAGTACTCACAAACTAACAATTTTTAATTTTTTTGATAGACTGAAATGTGATTTTTGTCAGGTTTAAATCATAARAATATTATATTTATTTTACRCACATTTTAATATCAAATATTCAAATACTGTGAACAAGTGAACATAGCTGATAATATGGTATATTTTTGTTACCTATTATTACCTTAGTTTGAAATTGTTCCTAACCTGGTCACCTGAGTGATAAGTGATGAACTGATAACTGTGTA